AATATTAAATTTAAATAATTTATTAAATAATTTATAATTTTTTTATAGATTTTGATTTGAATTTAAATAATTATCTAAAAATATTAAATTTAAATAATTTATTGAATAGAATTATTTGACAAAAATAAAATTTTATTAAGTATATATATTTGGAACCGTTATTAAATTTGAAAAGAAAAGATAAATTATGATTTAATACATTTCAATTCAAATCTTATGCAAAAATTTTAATGTTAAATAGATTTTGATTTAATTTAAATAATTATCCAAAATATTTAATTTAAATAATTTATTAAAAAATTTTATATGATAAATAAAATAATACAAATATTATCCTATACGTCATTAAAAGAGATTATTCACTTAGACATTCACATAAGCAATTTTGATTATGTAATCTTGTATGTTGTGGCATTCACATAAATAATTTTGATTATGTAATTTTGTATGTTATAATACAATATATATTAGATTATGCTTAGAGATAAAAAAAAATGAGTTATAAGTGTTGAGAGAATATATAGAAAATACCAAAAATTAATACCCTAAAGTTTTGGGAAACGTATTATTAAATTAAAAATTTGGACCACATTGAAATTGATATAAAGGAAAATTAATTAAGCTTTCAATCCTTAAATATCATAACCAAAATTTAAAGGAGGCCGGTGATCAGAAGCTAATAGTATTCCTGGTTGATGCTAAATTATTTTAATGGCTGAAAGGCTAATGTCTTTGAAGCTCCAATATATATCTACTTCACCTAACGTTATTTTGTCATGCAATGCATGTGGAAACCTGTTTAATGTTTTAAGAAAAAAAAAATAACAGCAATAATTAAAACCAAGAAATTGGGAACTCTGCTCAGCCTCGCATTTATAAGAACAAGAACAAGAACAAAAATATGAATATTACTGTTTCACTTTGCTGATGGCCCCTCTCTCTACCTCGTAGAATGGTTTCGACCCCTCCTATATATGTAACAGTATACTGAGTCATGAGCTATTTTATCCAGTTTAAGGCTGGTAAGGAATTTTAGGTTTTATACAGTTCATTTTCTCATCGAGTCGATCAGAACAAATTTATGAAAAAAAAAAAATTATCTTGTTACGATTAATTTAAGTTTGAATATTTTAATATTAGACTCTCAAACCAAGCTTAGAATAAATTTTAGTGCCGAGATTAGTTTTGTAATCAACTTCAAGCTTTCCATCGTGCCAACTTAATAAAATGTTACACATCTAAAGAAATTAGGTGGCAAAGCCTTGTTTCCAAATGAACCACCAAATTATCACAATTACCCAGAAAGCCTACCAAAAATTCCGACCAAATAAATAAGTGATCATCAATATTGTCCACCGAGAAAAATTATTATAAACCATTTAATTATTTCATCCAATTGCATCTAGTTTATTCTTGTGCATAATTTTTTTATAACATGTGGGAGTAGCTCCAATTTATTTGGCCACATAATTAATAGAGAATCAATCTGTTAGAGAACGAATTTAGATATTAGAATCCAAGCTCGCAGCTGGAAATTTTGTACAAAATATCTCTATCTGAAATCAAGTTGATACGTACCTGGCAAAAAAAAAAAAATCAAGTTGATAAGAATCTCTTAGTTTTGCATAAATGTTGTATTAATAAAAATTTCAATAATTTTTACTGTTTAATATTAATAATCGTGTTTGTTAGGCTAGGCTTTTCCTATTTCTTTTAGTTAATATGTGATTAACATATTATTATTTTAGATCGTTGAAAATTAAATTTTGATTGATTATTAAAATTAAAATTTTAATAATTTATCAGTAAATCATATGATTGTAATCGGTTAATATATTATTATATGTTGCTAATGTAAACTGCTAAACTAATTACCCAATTGATCAAATAATTGTGGTCCAACCTTTTGCTGACCATGTGAAGCATGCCAAAATAAAAATAAAATTAAAATTAAAAGGGCAGGGCTCTACTCATACCTATGTACGATGATTAGGAATTAACTATAAGAAAAAATAATGATTAATTAGCATATTGATATTGACTAAGAATCATGGAAAATGGTTATTAACATTGACATTTTTTTTTGCAAGAAACACTAATCTTCTAGGCTTAGGGCCCAAAACGAGGATTATTATAATAAATCACATGATTTTCATGTTTTATGGTGCTGATTAATGGTTAATTTGCTAGCTTAAACCAACAACTAAGGAACATTAGTAGTAGCTGGCTAGTTCACATCTGACCATCATGCTTTGGAGTAACAAGTTTGACACTTAAAATTTAATATATTCTTCAGTTTTCTATGAATTTGAACATGAAAAAAATTTGCTTGAAATTGTGATTCCCTAGTAATTCCACTTAGAAACTAAACGTCAACGATCTAATTAAAATGCATGTGTGACTGATTAAGAGAAAAAATCACAAAAACTACAACAGAAAGAAAAATTTATCTGCATCTAAAACAAATCTACAATATTATTTACAATTAATGACATCTTATTGCTAGATTTAAGGTCTCCCAATTTCCAACCACATAAAATAGTAATAATTAATTTTTCACAAAAATAAAAAAATCTACAGTATGAATTAAGATATTATATCAGTACCAAAGCACATATACTGAGAGCAAAATGGGGTCCATCATTTATATTATTGTCTTTGCTCTCACATCTTCCAGCTAAGAAATGGGTCATGGATTTTTTATTTCTCCAATGCTTTTCTGTACATTTTTAAAACAAATATAAGAAAACTTCCAGAGGTGGATATACGAGCCATGATATGGTGGAGGGTCTTGGTTTTTTTTTTCTATTTTGGTGTTTGTCAGTTACTGAAAAGTTTCAGTTTGTAATGGAGTAGTAGTACTCCACCAAAGCTTGCCTTTCTCTTTTTTTTTCTCTAGAACTTGAGGCTTTAGTAGACAGGAAATGACAAAAAGTCTAATGCAGTAGCTGATTCTTGTGAGCTCGATAATGAGCATGTAGGGAATGCTAATTATATTATTTGCAAGCTTGAAATTTCATTACAAAAAAAAAAAAAGAAATAACAGGACAAAAAAAATTGTGGGTTTGCATTTGCCTGTAAATTATTGGTCAAAGTTTTCCAGCCATGAACTACATGGGACTTTACTGTTTCTTTGGCACTGCACATATGCCACCAGGAAAATACTGTACTTCGCCTTTTTTTCATGAACAATTTCATATAGATGTTTTATAGCAGTATTATTTATTTTATTACTATTATCAATAATTATGTGATTTATTAAATTTTAAATATAAAAAATATTTTACTATAATGATTATTAGCTTAACGAGAGATACTAGCTAAAAGAATAAAAAAAACAAAATAGGAAAAGCTAACAACCAAACCAAGCATAGTTGAAGGGGTAAAAAGAAACAAAAAAGAAATCCTAACAAACCTGTTAGAAAATTCAAATGACATATGGTGTCAGCTGAAATTTGTAATAGGTTGCCAAAGGACAGTGTCTTTGGCAATTGGCATCATTATCTACGTCACAATTTATTATTGGTTTATTGCTAATAATTTAAGTCTTATTTCTCACATATAATCATAGAAGAAGTGGAATGATATATATATATATATATATAAATACAATTTGTAAGGACCTGCGAGAAGTATACGAACATGGTGGTTGAAATGCAGCTGTCAAAGGAATAAGCCTCTGCAACAGACCATTTATTATACTATTTTTCCTTTTAATTTTTTTTTTTTTATAATAATCAAGAAGAGCAATGGGTTTCTGTTCCCAGTGTTTGCTTAAGTTTTGGGTGAGATTTATGAAAATTTTCTATTAAAATGTATTACATACAAATTAAAGTTGAAAATACAAATAAATAGATCAAAATAATTCATTATATAAAGCAAATATATAAAATTTGATATATTTTTAAATAAATTTTTTATTATAAAAATTTTATTATTGAACAAGTATTAATAAAATTTTAATTACAAATGATGTTTTAATAATTTATATTATATATATTATTGATCATTTTATTAAATTTTATCAATTTATAAATTTTAATTTTTAAAATAAATTTTTATGTGTAAGAACTCCAGCTAACTCTTGTTCCGTACTGTGAGTTAGGTTGATACTTTTTAAAGAGGAAAATGTAGATTGGAAGAACATATTTAAACCAATTAAACCCAGACCATTATTTTGTAAATTTTCAATTTCCATGGCCAGATTGTGACAGATGAAATAAAACTTTTCTAATTGGTTTGGTTCTTTAATATTTCAAGGTACCCAACCTCTTTGTTTTTTAGGGTGAAGAGGAAAGACGGGGAATCTTATCAATCTTTTAAATTGTACATCACAATTTCCTTTCAACATTGTATTCTTTTCTTTTTTCAATAGTACAAAAAAAGAAGAAGAAAAGCACAGTTTGTTTATCAATCTAATGACAGAACCCATCATATGCATAACCCATGGGAAAATTTTTGACTTTTATGCCTGTTAATGTTTCAATGGTTTTATCAAAACCCATTGAAAGAGCCCTGAAAATTAAAGGACTACAACCAGGAACATATGAGCTTTAATTACACCACAGCACTTGTCAATCCCAAAATCAACACAAAAGCTAGATCAAACAAAGAAAAAATTACTTCAAAGGGAAAAGAAATAAGAACCCATTGTCTTTGACCTTTTCTTTATTCTATTGAAAAAAAAATTAATTGTTCTTCAATCGTTGTTAACCATTTTTTCTTACCGCATCCATTATTCTTCTTTCTCTAAAAAGTAAAAAATTTTGACCAATTGAAGCAAAAGCAACTGTCATGCTAGATTGATAGAATATTAATCTCAAGCATAAAAAAACTGCATGCCAAAGCTCAAGGCCTTTGATGAAATTTACCATTTTTCTTTCAAGGGCTTGGTTCACCCAAAGGGACTACTGCTGAAGAAACAGACCAAAATGGTGTCTTTTGCCCTTTCCTAGAGAAAAAATTTGCAAAAGGGCAATTTCGTAAAATAAAATTGATCATTTTTTTAAGTAAAAAAGGGCAAACTTGGATTTTTATTTTCATATTTTTGGTCATGCATTAATGATCCCATAGTAAAGGACCAAACCAAGTTGTAATCACAGTTTGTTGCATTTGCATCGAAATTTCCTCCCCAAAATACCCACAATTTTCTTCGTTATACCAAGGCATGCCACTTGGATTGAAAAGCCACCCATCAACCGTGTCCACGTACACGAACTCGCTCCCTGACTCCGCAGATTCGTAGCTCGTCCCAAGACTCGGCAGCTCCACTATCTCGCTCAGCTCCTCCGGTGTCGACACGTCATCTACATTCGATGATGATGACGTGGAAGCTGATGAAGATGATGATGACGATGTGGCGTTGCTGGTGTTCCCATTACTTAGGTACTCCATCGAGGCAGCTTTAGCAGCGGCGGCTTGGACGTCACGGGGCGAGTTGGAAGCTGGTCGAGGCAGCGACTCGGCGAGTTCAGGGAAGTTGAGAATCGCCGAGTTGCCTTTGATGCTTAAGGCTGCCACGTCATGGGCTCGTGCCGCCATTTCGGCAGTCGAAAAAGTGCCTAACCAGATCCGATTCTTCTTCCGGGGCTCTCGGATTTCGGATACCCATTTTCCCCACGTCCGCATACGGACCCCACGGTAATCCGGGTGCTTGCTATTATCCCTCGGACGCTTTGGTCTCTTCGGATCGGACGTCAGGTCAGTATCTAATTTCATTTTACCACCGTAGGAGGATGTTGAAGGTGGAGATAAGGCAGAGGCGTTGTTGCCGAGAGTGCTTGACTCCGTTTCCGAGTTTGGTGGGTCACCCATTGCCAGTTTCTGATTCAGGGTTTTCCTCAACACACTTAAAAACTGAAAAAAAAACACCTATTCAATACAATGGTAACTGCTAACCAAGCAGACTGACAAACTATGTAAAGCAAGCAACTTTACAGAAGTTCATAAACAGAGCATGCAAAAAGTTAAGGTTTTTGCTTGTTTGGTTTTCTTATTTTGTTGTTAGTTTCAGCAGAAGGAAGAGACGAAGTAAATGAGAGAAAAGAGGGAGAGCCTTGATGTGTGGAGAGAAAGGGATAGAGGAGGAGGGGTTTTAAGTAAGGGAAGAGCAAACGAAAGACGAAGGAAAACGTGGGGTATTTAAGTGATCCCCACACTGATATACACACGAAAGGCCACCGGCTTTTTTAACCTCATCATTATCACCTATTAATGACTACATTTACTCACATTAACACATTATTAAAGTTAATATAGGATCAAAATATTATTATTTTAATTGAGAGAGAGAAGTACAGCCTAGAAGTTTAGGGGCGTCAAAGGCTACAATGTAAAGTAGTCTTAGGGCATGGGGGGTGGGGTTTTGGGTTCACAATTAAAACAGCTGGCACAGCCGCCGCCTGAGGATGCTGCGTGGTGGTAGCTAATTACGTACTTGAATGGGGCATTTAACATTACTTATTGTTAGTTACTCTTTCCGTTAAAAAAAAAACCTAAAGTTAAAAAAAACACATAAAATGGAAAAAAAAGTACTATTTTTCTTAATTTAGTTTACTTGCATTAATATTTGATTGATTGATAATGTATGGTTATATTTTATATATAAAATTATGATAAAATAATATTATAAATAAGATTAAATTAAATAATATTATTTTATTTTATATTTGATATATATAAATATTATAATAAAATAATTTATTTATTTGTCAAAATTATTTTTTTTCAAAGTTTATATAATCTAAATTATTAATGTAATTTTTAAGAGTATAATTTGACATTTAAATTTAATTTTATGGATTAAAAATAATCTTTTTCATTTAAAAATGATTGAATAATCTTATATCAATAGAATATTAATTCTCTTTATAATCTTTATTTTTTTTAGATACAAATTTAATATAATATAGAATAATTATTATCCTATCATATTAATAATTTTATGAATCAAATATGATCTATGGTTATATTTGATACATACTATTATGATAAGATAGGATAAGATAATATTATAAATCAGATTAAATTAAATAATATCATTTTATCTTATATTTAATGTGTGTAAAGATTAAGATAAGATAATTTATTTATTGATCAACATTATCATTTATCAAAGTTTATATAATTTATATTATTGATATAATTTTTAAGGGTATAATAAGATATTTAAATTTAATATTAAAAATAATCTCTTGCTTTTTCAAATAATAAAGTTATGATATCTAATCATTTCAATAATCTAAACTTTTTGTTCAAGTATATAACAAACATGTGATATGATGATTAATATCTTATCTTTTAATTAGTCTTATGTGTCAAACATAACATATAAATATTATATATTATTAATAAATCATATGATAATATTTTATTTATAAATAAAACATGATCAAATCTTTAAAAATAAATATTAATAAATTACATGATAACTTCATTCATAATTATTTTTAAGGATTTAATATTGTTTATTTGATTCATTAATAAAATATTAGTTTATAATTAATTGATAATATATATAATATTTATTTATTATCAATACATCAAAATATTAACTTAGCGACGCTGACCTTTTTTTTTTCTTTCTAAAATATAAACGTTACCCAATAGGAATACCCTTTTTAGTTTTTGGCTTTCACCGTTCTAATCGTGTTTGTTTTAGTTTTTTAATTTCACCAACATTTCCTCTCCAGTATGTATGGTGATAATACTATATATATTCTTGTTCCAAGCCAAACCCTAAACGGATTGACTAATTTATCCCACACCTAGCTTTGGAGTTTTATATTTTTTTTCTAGCTTCCCCATATCCCACTCACATCCTTCTTGGGTTATGTTACTCTTTTCAATGGAGACAAATATTGAGCAATTTGAACAAAATTTGCCGTTCCTGCATTTGGATCGGGGTCCCATATGATATCATATGACAGTGTTGATATCCCCAGTAATTCAGATCATCGCCTGGGGCTCTGCTTGGTATTTGCAAAGGGTCTTGGTTCTGTAAACCTTTGGATGAGATGGTGACTTCTCCCACAAGCTGTCAGTTATCATCTGCAAAATTCTGAATGCCTCCATCCCCCCAAATTTTTTCTCTTTCAAGAAAATATTATCAACAGGTTTGATTTTGCAGTTGTGATTAGAATTGCAATGCAAAAAGTTGTTATAGTTGTGATTAATCGTCAACTATTATGATCAAATTTAGCATTAATATTATTGATTCATAATACTAAAGGGAGTTCAAATATATATGTCCCATACAATGCTAAACTCTTTTATTTTATTTGATGTTTTTGAGCATCATGGTGAGCTCAGGCTCTGCTATCTGTGACTTAATCAATCAAAATTCATAATCTACTTATTGTGCACTTAACAAAGTTTTGAAAAAGCTTACCCACCATGATCCCCATTTTTTTAACTTAATAAATTACAATTAAGGAATACTTGAAACAATAATACAATTGAGAGGGTTGCAATCACAGATAATAGCATTTTAATAAAGTTCTGTTATTTTGATAATTATAATCCTTTATATATGTTCAAGAAATGATATTTTAAATGATCATATAGTATTTGTATTTTGAGAAACTCACATTCTTAACATGTATAATAATAGCATATATTTAAAGGTAAATTACAACACTCTCAACATCATTAATAATGAAAGTTGATGTGATCAATTTGTTTCATCCTTTATTTAATTTGCTCTCATTATCATTTTGTTACCATCATTTGTCCTGATTTGACATTTTAGTTATTCTAATGTGATAATGACATTATTGGAGGAGATTAATTCTGATTTATTTGTTTCTTTTTTTTTTTTTTTTCATGCTCACTCTTATTCTTCAAAATTTTTTTTTATCTTTATATTATAAATTATATAAAAATAAAATAATTTGTTAATAGCTATAAATTTTATTGATAAAGTATTAAAATTTTAATTTTAGTGATTAAAATTTAATTTTTAAAAATTTTAAATACAAAATAAAACAAGATATTCAAAACTTATGCAAATTATAATGAACTTAATTACCCATTTGACAAAAAAAGAAAAAACCCCAAAATCCTTTTTATTTTTCTCGTGAAAGACGTTGAAGCCTACTATAGAAAACCCCAATTTTTTGGTCTTTGAGTTAAGCAATAAATAACAATGGCCCAATTGCTCTTATCTAAAGTCATGTTTTTCCACAATTAACATGTCTTGAAAGAGTACTATATTTATGAGCTGTCAAAAACCAAGATCTAATTTGATGAATTAAACTAGTTTACTAGGCCCTTTCCATTGTTAGGGAAATTTTTGAACAATTGATTTCCACACATTTCGAGCACGCTTTTGGTCCACAAATTGGCTGGCTAATTTTATCAAACACTTTATGTAGACACTTCATTTAATTTGAGATTAATTTATATTTTAAAATTAAGTTTTAAATTTTTTTATTTATAATATTGTATTTATTTTAAAGTTATTATTATTATTTAAAAAAAGATTTATTTTGTTGAAATTTAAAGAGGATTTAATTTTAATTGGATTGTTGAATTGAAAGTATTCTAATTAAAAAAAGGATTGTAATAGAGAATTGGTTTGAGATGTATATTTAGATTAAAAATCAAAAGTTTAAATGGATTAGGAGATTCAAACAAAAAAAAAAACTTATTTTTTTATTGTTATTGGGATTGGAGGCCTATAAAAAAAAATCCAATTAGGATCACTTAAAAACAATCAAGAATCAATTAAAAAATATCAAAAAAGAAAGAGTAAAAAAAAAAAGAGCAACAAAATTAAGAGTTTTTTTATAGTTTTTTTTTTTTTAATTTTTTGGGTTTAGATAATTATAATTTTTTTTTTTTTGGAGTTTTGTGTTAAGAAAAGAAGTTGAGAAAAAACACAAAAGGGAGGGAATTAACAAAAAATTTTGGAAGCAAAATTTTCAAAGATTTCAAGTACATATATTTTAGGTTTCTATTTGATTTTTGTTTAAATTAGAAAGAAAGATAATCATCATAGGCGAGGGGCATTAGCGAAGGCTTAGAATGTTTTGTAGAGAAATAAGAAAGAAGACAAGATAATTTTTATTTTTTTCTTCTTTATTTGTATATTTATTTATGTTACTTATTGTTTCTCTTCTTTTTTTTTATATATTTAAAATAAAATTTGTATAATAAATTTATAATTCCTACCAAATGATTAGAGGATTTAAATATTGAATTATGAATTCTATCAAACGATTAAAATTTTTCATAATGAATTTTCGAAAACTAATTTTTCAATCCTACCAAATGATTAGAGAATTCAAAATTTCGTTAAATTTTACCAATCTATTGGATAATTTAATGATTTTTTTCAAAAGAAATTTTTGAGGTTTTCAAATAAAAATCTCACAAAACGATTGGAGGATATGCATCAATATAAAATCTTACCAAATGATTGGATGATTTTATTGATTGATTTCCAAAAAATGATTTTATAGAAAATATGTTAATGAATCCGATGACAAAGCCTTTTTAAAGTAAGACATGAGTCTCTATAAATACTCTTAAGGTGAAAAAATTATCTTAAATTACTACCAAATGATTGAAGTAACTTAAGACCAATTTTTAATATTAAATTTACTTGGTAAAAATATAAACATATTCAAAGGCTTGGATAACACGAAATCAAACTGGTACTATCTTTCGATGAGCGTTGTGAGGATGTTATAAAATTTCTCATATGTAACTATATTCTCGGATCTAGATCTAATTTTGTAGACATGAATTTATCTTTTAAAGACACCTAAGTCAAGTTTGGGATTGTTCTTTAAAATGAGACAGATTCAATAGATAACCAATCACACTTAAATAATGTATAGATCCATAGAGTTATCTCTAGATCTGAAGCTATTGCTAAATCTGATTTTAGGGAGTCGCTACTAATTTTTTTTATTTAAGTGTAATTGGCCACCTACTGATTCTGTCATATTTTAAAGAATAATCCAAAACTTGACTTAGATATTTTTAAAAGGTAAATTCATGTCCACAAAACTAGATCTAGGTCTGTGAATACAGTTACATATGAGAAAGGTTATAGCACCCTCACAACGACTATTGAAGGATGGTATTAGTTTGATTTCGTGTTTTCCAAGGCTTTGAACATTTTTATATTTTTACCAAGTAAATTTAATATTATAAATTGGTTTTAAAATTACTTCAATCGCTTGGTAGTAATTCTAGAT